CACATCCCCCTTGGGCCCTTCACCTCCAACTCGCTTTAGTTGGCGATCACCAAGATCTGGCCAACCTCCAGACGATGCAGAAACAGCCAAGCTAGGCGGTAGGAGGTCCTTGAAGAGAGGCGCTCTTCCGAGGGGGAAACCAGACATGGCCAGGGGAATCCCAAGAAAGAGGACCTCCCTGAGCCACGGGAGAACTGGAGAGGCCGCCTCAGTCCTTCCGAAAAGTTTGGGGCTGCTATCTAGGGAGCCAAGAGCTCCTTCAAACCGAAGAAGTCCTGGTTCCCATTTCATTGTCTTAAGTGCCTCAAATGCCATCGTTGGCCCCTCAACACAGAGAGTCTGTTTAGCCTTGAGACTGCAGTTTTTCCAGCTGGCTACCTTTCCTTGGTCGGCATCTGGAGGGCACCAGGTTGGGGAGGAGGCGTTGATTCCCCCCCCCCCCCCATATTTAAGTCCTTTTTTCTGGAAGCCTCCACTCCATGTAAGCTTGGAGAAGAAGGGTTGTTATTATTTTTTGGCATCACTCAATGAACGAAAGCAGAGGCGTCTATCCTCGGGAAATGACACTTGGCAGATCCTGGCTTGGACGGAGACTAACCATGCCCCTTTTTTTTGCATCGCCTGCAGGGGCTAAACTGGACGACTTTGCAGACTTCACCTCCTTCGGCCTGGCCACGGGCCTCCTCCTGCAGGCCCACGGACTCCTCGACGGATTGCTGGTGATCGTCTACGTGCTGGCGGTGTTTACGCGGCTGTGCTTCTTCTCCAGCGGTGAGCCTGGATGGGGAAAGATCTCATTGGGGAGGGGGGATGTGGGGTGGGGGGGAAGCTTCCACCTTTGGATGCCACAAGAAGTCGTGGCCAAGCTCTGTCTAGGTTTAAGAGCGTGCTTTTCAACGGGGAAAAGTGGGATCGCGATGCTGTGTTTCGTTAAGATTCCGGATGCTGCCTTTCCATAAAGGAATTGGTGCGCTTTTCAACACGCCCAGCTGACATTTTAACCTACCCAACAGCAGAAATAGATCTTTGTGACGGACACAACATACCCTGTCCTTTTTTTTTTTTTTTGGTGTAGCTGGGGGATCACAGACTACGGCCTGCCCCTCAATGAATTTGTGCGTCTCTTTTCTCTTCCCTTCTGTTCATCCACAGGGATGCCCTTTATGTACCGGGGTTTGCCATGCCCCTACGGCGCTTCCATGGTAGCAGCCACCTACTTCCTGACTGGAGGCCACCTGGTGGCCATGCGCCTGATGGCCATGGTGATGATCCTTTTCATGGTGGACCAAGGCTTCTATCCCCATGACAAAGTGCTGGAGTCCCAGGCTTGGAAGAAGGCCATCTTCGGAGGAGGTAGGTCCAGGGGTGAGATCCTACCGGTTCGGTCTGGTTTTATAGAACCGGTAGCTCCGAAGAGCAGCTGACACCGAACAGGTTCGCTGGGATGAGATTTTGGGTCTGCTGTTTGGCCCTCCTGTAAATGCTGGCCGGAGCTGGTAGCGAGCAGGCGTGCGCAGCACATGTTTGACGCGCGCATGTGCGCGCTCTCCAAACTGGTTGCGCCGGTCAGATCCCACTCCTGGGTACGTCCAGGGTCTTCCCTGGCTTGCCCAGTCTGGAAAGCAGGGAGGTGGAAGAGTTCCCTTGTTACAGGAGAGTAGGCTTGTCTCTCTTCCTTACGAAAAAAGGGCTTATTTGCAGCCAGAGGGGAGATTCGGACATCATTTGAACCATCGAAGAACCTCTAAAAGTTTGAGCTGTTTTTCAGTAGTTCAGAAGCTGTTTTGCTAGAAGAGGGGTTGGCAACCTTAAACACTCAAAGTTTAGTTTTAGTGTCATTGCACCTCGCACAACGAAATCAAACGCCATCTTCAGCACACATCATGACCACGAAAATAAACACAAACACACATCCTTCACACTCCACACACTGAATTGAAAACCCCTGACGCTACACTAACACTGCACTAGGCAGTAGAATTCAACAGAACTATTGCCCTGGGTTAGAAGCTGTTTTTCAGCCTATTTGTCCTTGTTTTTATTATCCTGTACCGTTTGCCAGATGGTAATAGTTCCAAAAAAGAAAAAGGGTGCCCAGGATGAGATGGATCTTTGAGAATGTTTTGAACTTTCTTAAGGCAGTGGGAGCTATAAAGCTCTTCCAAAGAGGGGAGAGGGCAACCAATGGTCCTCTGAGCAATGACATTAACCTATGGTGGTTCCCCCACTATAGTCTCCTCCTAGCACATCCTTTTTCCTCTACCTGTCCTAACCAAAAGCCCTATCAATTGTGGAGCCAATTGGCGACATGGAGCCACAGCAGAGGGATGAAGGAGCCACATGCGGCTCCAGAGCCACAGATTGCTGACCCCTGGTCTAGAGGAACATTTGATTGCTCCAATCTGGGACACTGCAGTCTCATGAGAAGAATGAGAGAATGGCTGGCTAAAAAATAAAAACAAAGACTGTATGGTGTGAGAAGCTAAAAGGGTTTGGTTTGGGGAAAAATAAAAATATTTTTAAGTGCCCTTCGTGCTTAAAATGTCCAAACAAACCTGGATTCAGGGGGACAGTGAGGTCTTTACTGATGTTGCCTCGTGTCTTCTGAATATCAATTTCCGCAATTCCCAGTTGTTCCAGTTAATCCCTTTCCTTGCAAGACTTTATGGTAAATAGAACTGAACAAACTGCCGTTTCCTCGGAGGGGGGGGAGAACCTTAATGAGTGGGGATTAAAGCAGAGGTATGCTGACATTCCAGAGAGCAGGACTAACGGGACTTTGGCCCCGCATAAATCAGGTGATCTGCAGCGGGAATCCACCTGTGATCTGGAGGCACAAGACTGTTGTGTCTGATGGCCTAAAAACAGAAAGCTGACAGATTTTCAAAGCATCGCATGTTGCCAAGGGAGGGGTTCAGAATCCGAGGATCTGGCTCGCCCCAAGGGGCTTCTTTAACTCTTTCTCTCTTGGCCACTGCAGGTATCTTGGTGCTCCTGTTTCACACCTCCTTCCTGGCCTCTCTCTACTTCCTGATTTGGTCCATATCATACATTTTTTTCCCCAACACTTTGTGGAGTTACAAAGTCTAAACTCGTCAGAGGGTGCGAGTGGACGTTGCCAGCACTGCACCCTGCCAAGGCAGTCTCTTCAGCGACTGGGACGATGGATCCAGTGTTAAAAATCCATATTTTGTCTAAATGCTGAAGTCTTTCATCAACTTGAGATGATAAAAACATCTGGGAAATTTATCCATTGCTTCCGGCAGTGTCTCCCCTTGTTGGGCTGCCTGTTGCCTGAAGAACGAAGTCAACAGTTGGCTAACATGCCGAGTCTTTGGTCAGTGTAGTTACGTACAGATTCTTTATACCCTTGCTTATATATATTTTTAATGCCAGTTATTTACCCGCTGATAGCTTTTAGGGACATGGGGAAAACTTGAATACAGACCTCTTGCCACTTTCCACTCTTGTGGCGTTCTCACTCTGGATCCATCAGAGGGGCTTCCTTCTTTAACCAGTTTTTTTGCAATAGGTGAGCTAGCTGAATATGCAACCTTTGCATAGAGAAGGGAATCCCACTGCTTCCAGAGACAAATTTGGCCCCTTAAGAGGAAAAGGAAATTATCTCTCACATGACTGCCCTCTTGTTATCCAGGCCCACACAAGTAGAAGAGCAAAGTCTGGCTCTTAACGGGTGAGATATTAAAGCTGTCTTTAACCCATAACTGATAAGTTAAGCTCTTTCTGGGTCTTTTAAAAAACTCCACTACTTGTGAAGACAGTTGTAGTCTGTGCACACGTTCTACTCTATTATGAGTGAGTAGTCTTTCCACAGAGTAGACAGGAAGCAGGGCAATGAAAAATCTCAATGTGCCATCCAGAATTTAAGCCAAACTCCGTCAACATGGGGTGGAACTACTGCTGGAGATAGTTTGGGAATTTTCCCACCAGCTGGGCCTGCAAAAAAGTCTGCATCGGGTATGAAGAAGAAGGATCTCCGGAATTAAGTTGCCAAGCAAACAGGCCAGTGCATGGTGGTCCCTCCCACCACACATTCCTCTGCCACCACAGGGGCTAAAGGAAGGCGCAAACTTCTGCCAACATCTGTGAGCTGCCCAGCTTTGCTAAAGGAATCCTTTGTACATCTTACTGGTAGATCTCTGATCTAGAATTCCACCCCGACTTCAGTTCTAGCCAGAATCATGGAAGACATTCTAGATTTGTGTTGGGCCCCCAAATGCTTGTGGCAGGTAGTGCTTTTAATATATTTTTAATATTCATCAGGGTAACGAACTACATTGGGAAAACGGTCTCTTCCCAAGAGCTATTAGATAAAACACAAGAGGAAAAAGAAGGGAGGAAGATGAATGTTAAGTGCCATTGGAAAACTGTACTTGAAACTAATGTTCTCGTGTTTGGGAGGAAAAATTAAACTCATAAAACATTGAAGACGCTTCCTTGTGTTTTTGGTTTGTGTGCTTGGGAATTGTGATAAGTGAGGCAGACATTCGTAAGGTCTGGAGCAGGAGAGGGCAAGCTGTGGGGTTACAAGCTTCACCATTCTCTTCCATTACCATACACATTTCACATTGTTGGCTACCCACTGCTTGCCCATACTAAGTCTAGAAAGGCCACTCAAACGGAAGGGGACAAAAAGGGGGAGAGGATGGGAGGGAGACCGAGAAAGTCAGCTGTGTGTCGACAACAGAAGGGAGAAGTGTTTTTGTTCTCTTTCTTGTAAACCTTGATCAAGGAGGGAGGGAGAATCATCAAGTGTCTGATATACAAAAGGACATTTCTGTGCAAAAAGGAATTACTTGACCAACTTTATGCCACACCAAACAATCAAGAGCCTTAAGACTCTTCACCCATCAGAGACTTACAAGCAACACTTCCATGTGAAGAGGCAGCATACCCTGAATCTCTGTTTTGGGGGAGAAAAACTTTTTTCTGGCTTTTGGATTTCCTGGAATTATCATAAGACCATATCTACACTGGGCTTTGGTCTCACAGGTATTTATTTGCACACATATAAAACACACATTTTATTTAATAAATAGGATTTTTAAAAAAAACAGTTCAAACAATGAGAAACTCCATTTTGGCAAGGACTTAGAAGCGGCTGAGAGGCACTGCCGTAGCACAGAGGAAAAAGGGTCTGGGGACTTCCCACCGTGGCTTAACAGACCACTGACCGTGGTCCAGCATCCAGACCTTGAGTGAAGTCTTGTGTGGGGAGCAAAGATCTGGCTGTCTGCAGGGGTCACTCACTGGAAGCCCTCATCTGCTTGCAGAAGGCATCAAACTGTTGCTGCTCCAGCTCCGTCATCACCCGGTTGAGGGCATAGATCTACAGACCAAAGCAGAGGTTAAGCCATTGTTCCCAAACTCATCAATCACTTTGTGAAATTGTTCATCCACCCCCCCCACAGCATTATAGGAAAATAATCTGATGCAATTTTAACAACAATAACAATAACAAAGTTCTTCAAAATGAACAGGTCAAGATCCTGTGGGACTTTTGGATCCAAACAGATAGACATCTGGCCCACAAGATGCCTGACATCTCTATTGTGGAAAAGAAGAAAGCGTAGTTCATTGATATTGCAGTACCAGGGGATGCACGAATTGAAGAGAAACAAGTAGAAAAAAAAATCATGAAATACCACTATCTGCAAATTGAAGTTGAGCGATTGTGGAGGAAGAAATAAATGGTTGTATCAATAGTAATAGGAGACCATGGAGCAATCCTCAAAGGGTTGCCTAGATATGTGGAAATTTTGAACTTATTAGACCCAAATATCTTGACTTTACAAAAAAATTACCCCCAATTGGAACTGCCTATATACTCAGACATTAGCTCTTAGGACCTTGGTTAGGACTTGGACTGTTAAGCTTTTACCCAGATTGCGAATCGAATTGTAGATTAAATCTTAAATAATAACAACAACAATAATCCAAACGACAATATCCACCTATCCTAGGTCCTTGGGAAGGACTCAATACATGGGGGAAAAAATGCCAAACCCAGGCTAAACATTTGCCTGATTGTGCAATGAAGGATAATAACTTAGATGGTCCCACTGACCTCTGGGGAGGGTGTCAATATTGACATTTTTTGGAAAACATTGGGTTGCACCTAAAAATGCCCCAGCCCTCAGGGGCAGACAAATGGGACTCCGTCCCACAGAAAAAGGAAGCTCGCCTTGCCAGCCGTTTCAGAGCCAAGAGAAAAGTAAAGTGACTTATTTGACCTTTATCCCACCTGTAATACAGGTAATCCTTGACTTACAACCATTCAGCGTCCGTTCGAAGTCGCAACGGCACCGAAAAAAAAGGGGGGACTTAGGACCCCTGTAGCATCCCCCCCGTGGTCACGTGATCAAAATTCAGACGTTTTGCAAACTGGCTCCTTGTTTAGGACGGTCGTAAGCGATCCCGTTTTGCGACTTTCTGACCGGCGAAGTCGACGGGGGGAAAGCCGGACTCGATGTAACAACCGTGCCAAGTAACTTAATCGACTGCAGCGATTGCCTTAACCACGGGGGCAAGGAAAGGTCGTCCAAACGGGGAGGGGGGGGCAAAAATGCACCCAGGCGTCTCGCTTAGCAACGGAAACACTATCGGGCTGAATAGGGGTCGTAAGTCGAGGACTGTCTGGATTCAGGACACACTTGCCTGAAAAACAAGGGGGAAAAAGTCCAAATGGAGGGAGGGGCTCGGCAAGTAGCAACGAGCCCTATAAGCTTCCCCCCCACCCCACCCCCAAATCTCTCCTTAGGAGCCCCCTAAGTTAGACGCAGCAGTGGCGGGGAGTTCCCCAGGCGCGGGTGCTTCTCCCCCCCTCTCACCGCTCCATCAAGGGGGCTTCATTCCCCGTGGGGGAGCTCAGAGACCGAGGAAAGGGGGCTTTGTAGGCCCCCAGACCCTTTTAATTGGGGGCCCCCGCCTCAGGGGCCTCCTCAGAGACCTCCGCCCACCTCGGCGCGCTGCCGCTGCTTCAGCTCCTGCTGAGCCGAGCGCTGCTTGGCCTTCTCCAGGCGGGCGTTGCCTCCGACGCCGCTGGACCCGGGGCCCTCCTTGCCTTTGGCAGGCGGCGGCAGCACCGGCGGCGGCGGCGGCGGCGGGAGCTTCTCGCGGCGGCCACCGCCGGGCTCCATTCCCCCTCAGAGCGACAAAAAAAAAAAAGGCGGCGGTCCGAGGAGCGCCTCAACGCGCAGGCGCCACGGCAGGCCGCGCGCGCGCGCGCGCGGAGCCTACCCTCTGACGTCACAAATCCACCACCGAGGACGGCGCGACCTAGAGCGGCCTTTCAGAAACAGGAAGTCCGACCAAGCACCTGGCCGCGCCAAGGAGCACGAGCAGGCGATCGCGCGCGCCCCCGCCCACCGGCGTCACAAACCCACTATCGAGGACGGCGCGGCCTCCTCGCAGAGACAGGCAAAGTCCGACGAGCGCCTCTGTCGCCGCGCCAAAAAAAAAAGGGGCCCAGGGGCCGGGCGCGCGCGCGCGCGGACCACCCTCTCTGACGTCACGAAAGGCGCGCGCGGCCTAGAGCGGCCCTCCTCGCCAGAGACGAGGGGAAACTCTGGCCTCGCCAAGCTTTGAACTGGGCGCGTGCGGGAAA